CCGCGCGGTGTTCTGCTCGTAGCCTCGATCGCACTAGTATCTTATCTGGCTTTAGTATCTTATTATCAATCTACCGAGAGTAGTGTAATGGATCTGTGATCTGGTGGCAGTATTACTATCTCGGGTAGTTTAATGGATCTCTTGCCTAGGTGGTGAATGTCTGAACTCTGAATGATGCATGGTTTGATGTGTGCTACTGTTTGATCTTAATGTTGAATGTGGAATTGCCGGTCTTCCTGTGTCTACACGTTTATTGTCGTTGTGGCGCCTCCGCGGAACGCCGTCGTGCCGGTCTGCCGAGCGATTGGAATCAATGCATCATGCAGAGGATCGCTTGGGAGCGCGACGCAAGGGCGCTGTCGCCGGCGAAAGATGGGAGAAGAGGCTTCGCGGCGCCGAGCGAGGACGCGCGAGCGTGAGCAGACAGGCCCGATCTTGCGCGGCTTCATTCGCCATCGTACGTCGCCTGCGCGCGCACGGTGCCGTGCCGCACCGGTCGCCATCGTACGGCTCGCACCGCCGTGCCCTATAGCTAGCTGCGTTTGCTTTCCCCACCACCAACCCGCGGAGCGCTTTCACGGAGACGGCAAAGCGCGTACGGCGGCCCTGGCCCGCGCGGTCGCCGGCAAAAGAGAGGTTCTGATTCGCGGCCTCCTCAGCGGAGAGAGACTACTGTTGGAGTGGTTAGTTGAAACTGGCCTTTGCTGCACCGTACGCGTCGTATAACCAGGGCCGGATAAACTATAGTTGGGGCTTTATTCGTGTACATCTAAACGAGAAATTTGCTACACCGTCAGCAACACCATCTAAATGAGAAGTTTGCAATCTACATGAACCTAGCTATTTTCTCTGTCAAAGAGAAATTTTTTTTAATGCTTGTGATTTCAGAATTGGTACTCTGTCAAAAATAAGATGTTTATGGTGTTCCATCTGAAAGAAGTTTATCTGGAGTATATAGATTGATTAAGTCACGTACAAAGCTCGTCAAGGGATGAAGCCTCAAACTTCATTTGGAAAAATGCGGCACCACCCAGAGTGAAATTCTTCATCTTGCTTCTTATGCAGAGAAGGATACAGTGCCGTTCTAACCTCCACCGCAAAAACATAGTGGACTTTCCTATCTGTGAAATCTGTCAATGTGAAGAGATGAAACTCCATAGCATATATCTTCAAATGTCAATTTGTCGCTGCTTTTTGGGCAAGGCTTGGCATAGCACTGGACCTAGACCAACCGATAAGCGACCTTGTTCTAACCAACAGGCTTGCTGCAATTCCTGAAGTTCAATTCGATCCCCATGTTCTTGGCTCTATGCTGTTGGCAACATATTGGAAGCGCTGGAACGGAGTTATTTTCAGGAACGAAGCGCTCACCCTCCAGCAAGTCCTATCCTGTTGCAAAATGGAAGCTAACCTTGATTGCCTTTGGCGATACAGGTTGTCAGTGCAGTCTAGATCGAGTTTTGATAGATCAATGGTGCTCCTTCTTCGATTCTGTAATGTAAAACTTATGAGCGCCCCCCTCTTCCATGAGGCTTGTACATCCGCCCGTTCGATAAGGAATAAAATTCAGGTGGGGTCCTTCCCCCCGGTGAACTTTCAAAAAAACATTTTAAAGTCAAAAGAAAGTCAGGAACAAATTTTGCTTCAGCCCCCTTTGGCACGGCTCATCCAAAACGGCTTCACCGGTGAAGCCAGAAAAACTGGCTTTTCTCGGCTTCTAGTTCATTTTAACCCTGGCTTACAAAACGGCTTCACAATACAGTGCCTCGATTTACGTAAAATAGATGAAGCCGAAGCCGGCATAAGCCGTGCCAAAGAGGCCCTTCATCTAGCACATTCAAATTACATCATATTATGGGGATATAGCAAGTTCGTGTTAGCTAGTTTAGGGATGTTTAGATCGCAACTTCAGGGATGATTGGTGGTCGTAGCAACTTCAATTAACATATCGAAAATTTAGTGAAATAGAGGCAGAAAGAAAGAAACTATAGCAAGGTTCGGTCGTGATGTGTAATTTAGGTCTATTTCATGTTTCAAAGAAACTAGATGTACATACATGTGTTCTTGGCCACACATAGTAAGCTAGCTAGCTTCCAGCAGAAAACCTTGCCTCCGGGCTCCAGGGTGGTCAGGCCTCGTGGCTGCCGCCTCGAGATCTCGTACGTGTCGCATGCTGAACGGCCGTATTCACGTACGTGCGAACCGATCGAGAGTGCGAGAGAGGACGAGACGATCGAATCGAGAGCGTGCTGCGCTGTGCCATATCATGGCCATCCATCGTCGCCTGCGCACGGCATGCATCATGCTTGCTTGCTTTCCCCACCACGAACCCCAACCCGCGGAGCGCTTTCACGGAGATGGCAAGCTCGTACGATACGGGGGCCCTGGCCCGCGCGCCTGCATGCAGCAGCCCCCCGACCAGCTGCTCTCTGGTGGCAGGCCTTCCTGCAGCGCCTGCAGCCAGCCCCGGCCGCCCGGCCGGCCATGTGGCATTGCTGCCTTGCAGTCATACTCCTACGTGTGTGGCCTCTTCCCCGCGGAGAGATGAGATTGTTCAACTGTTGATTCAAACTGGCATTTGCACCGTACGTGTAGTATGTGTCCAGGTCCGGATGACTAACGTTCAAATGGAAATGGAATGCTAGCCGGTTCAAATCGAATACTATGCTTAACCAATGCAAGAAACTACATTTGATTATTGGATGAATTTGATTGTTGGGGCTTTTGCATAATATTGTCTTATTATTCTGCAAGTAACCACGCATGATTTTATGTCTGGGTGTTGACATGGGGTGACACATATGCATGGCAAGCCAACTCACTACAGCATACACGAGCGGCAAAGCCCCAAAAACACTCGCCAAAGCGTTTGCCGAGTGTTACACTCGGCAAACGACACTCGGCAAAGGTTTTATCGGCAAAGAGTTGTTTGCCGAGTGTTAAACGTCGGGCACTCGGCAAAGACTATGCCGAGTCCAAAAAAAAACACTCGGCAAATATTTTTCGGGAAAAAATAAAAATAAAAAACAAGTCCCGCCGCCGCCACCACCACCACGCCCCGCCGCCGGCCACCACCACGCCGCCCGCCGGCATGCTCCTCCCTGCCAGATCCGCCATTGGAGGGCACCTCCCCACCGGATCCACCGCCTCCACGTTGCTGCTCGCCGCCGGATCCGCCCGCCGCCGCCGTGGATCTGATCACCGACGAGGGAGAGAGTGAGGGAGATGAAGAGAGGAAAAGAGAGGGAGATGGGGAGAGCTGACCTACCTCGGACCCACGCCGGCCGTCGCAACCCCATCGTCGCCGGATCCGAGCCCCAACAGCCGGATCCGACGCATGCCGCCGTCGCGAGGCCCACCCGCCGTGGAGCTCCCCTTGGCCCTCCTCGCTGGATCCAATGCCAGCCGCCGTCGCGAGGACCACCTGCCGCGGATCCATCGGCCTGGAGCTCACCTTGGCCCTCCACGCCGGTAGGAGAAGAAGGGAGGGAGGCGCCACGGGAAGAAGGGGGGGGGGGCGGGCGGGCGGAAGGGAGGGGGAAGAAGGGAGGGAGCCCACGAGGAAGAAGGGGAGGGAGGGAGGGGCGGACGGATCTGGGGAGGAGGGGGAGGAGGGGGCGCCACGGGAGGAGGAGGGCCGGGAGGGAGGGAGGGAGGGCGCAGCAGGAATGGAGGAGAGGGGCGGCGGCGGATCTGGGAGGAGGCTGGGGAGGAGGGAGGGGAGGGGCGACGGCGGTTAATTAAGTGTTTTTTTTCTTTGCCGAGTGTCCTAGATCCGGGCACTTTGCAAAGTTTTTTTCATTTTTTTATCCTTCTTTCTCAGAAAAAAGATTTTTTTTATTTGCCGAGTGTTCTAGATCTGGATACTCGGCAAAGTTTTTTTCATTTTTTTTTTCTTCTCCTTTCCCAGAAAAAAGATTTTATTTATTTGCCGAGTGTCCTAGATCTGGGCACTCGGCAAAGTTTTTTTTATTTGTTTTCTTCTCCTTCTTTCCTAGAAAAAATATTTTATTTCTTTGCCGAGTGTAAAAAAACACTCGGCAAACTCCCTATTTGCCGAGTGTTTTTTCTGACACTCAGCAAACCTCCTCTTTACCGAGTGTTTTTTTTTGCCGAGTGTTTTTAGCGCAGCACTCGGCAAAGAACTTGTTTGCCGAGTGCCCGAGAAAATACACTCGACAAACATAAAAATACTTGGCAAATTTAACGTTTCCGGTAGTGACTCAACCTAGCAGATCTGAAACAAAGCTAAAACCGACGAAAAATCTTGAGGGCTAGTTCGTTTGGCACATTTCAGCCTCTTCGCTTGCTCGTAAACGATCGTAAATTTCAGCCGGGAATAGTGTTTTTCTCTCACATCAAACCAGCCAGCAGTAAATAATCCACGATACGATACGGCCTCCCAAACAGGCTTTAAACTCGAGAGGAAGTGAGGAACCAAAGTTAACTTCATATCTGAAAAACCTGAGGGGTTATCTGCTATTCACGCCCCAACGTGCCAGGCATAGTCCTCAAGGGCAAAAAGGTCTATTCTCACACCACTCCTATGTGCTGCCCATGCATGCGTGCACCATATGTCCATATACACCCATGCACCACCAGGATCCAAAGCACCCCTCTGATCCAATTAATTAACAAAGACCGTGGGCCCCAATAAAAGAATTAAGAAAGACCTAATCACCCAGTGGCTTCTGTTGCATTGATATTCCTTGATCATCAAGTCAGTCGCTAATCAGTATTAGGCGCTCGTACGGACACACACAGAGCGCGGTAAGCTACCGTTGCGGTGAGTGGAGAGTGGAGACGGCGTACGTGCTCCACACCCCGGGTCATGGCTCTAGGGTTTCCTCGCCCCCTCCGCCTATAAAGAAGCCCTCTCTCCCCCTCACCTGCTCACCCATTCCGCTCCGCTCCGCTCCCCTCTCCTCTGCTTTCCCTCGTTCCTATCCACTGCCAAGGGGAACCACCAACCCCAGAGCCTCTGCTTCAACCCTTCTCCCATGTCTTACCGCGGCGGCGGCGGCCGGGGAGGCCGCGGCGGCGACCGCGGGGACCAGCGCCCGCCTTACGGCCACGGAAGAGCAGGGGGATCCGGAGGCGGCGGTGGCGGCGGCGGAGGCCGGCCCTTCATCTGGCCGCCACCGCCTTCCACGCCGCGTCCGGTGACGCCGGCCCCGCCGGGGCCATACCCGCTCCCGGTGCCGATGGGCTACCGCGGGCCCATGGTGATGCCGCACCAGGGCGCGTACGGGGTGCCGATGGCCGTGTACCGGCCGTCCGGTCAAGCGGCAGTCTTCAGGGCGCCCGCGCCAGCGGCGCCCCAGGTCTCCTTCTCGCCTGCGCCTCCGGCAGCTCCGGTCACAATCAGGGCGCCGCCATCATCATCCTCGACGACGTCGCCGGCTGCTCCGTCTTCCACTCCGGCCACTCCACGCCAGCCGGCGCCGCAGAGCGCCTCCACGCCGGCGTCCGAGCCGGCCCCGGCCGCCTCCTCCGCGCCGTCGCCCGCGTCCCTGGCGAAGGAGGTGGAGAAGAAGCTCTTCGTCTCCGAGACCGCGCTGGCGCCGCCCGCGGCGGCAGCGCAGGGGACTGCTGCTGCCGGCGCGGATGACGCGTCGTACTTCGACCTGGCGCCGGTCTCCAAGAAGGGGCTCGCGCACCCCGCTCGGCCGGGCCTCGCCACCGTGGGGAAGAAGGTGATGATCCGCGCGAACCACTTCCTCGTCAACGTCGCGGACAACAACTTGTTCCACTATGATGTGAGCTAGCCCTCCTCCTTCCCATCTCCCCCCTCATGTACTAGTATCTTCTCGTATCATGCATGCTTGGTAAGATCTGGTGGTCTTGTGTCCGTGAGTCTGGGGTATGGATGCGTACGTATGATGACGTGATAACATGCAGTGTGTGATGATGGTCTGCTCTCGTTTGGTTCTTGTTTTTTTTTGTTGTTGTTCCTAGCCGTCAGATCCAGTGTTTCTCCTGCCTGTTCTTGTGGTTTTCTCGTTTGTAAGTGCCATCTGTGGAACGTTGGCCTACTAGCACATGAACATCTTGCGCTTCCAATGCTATGCTATGCGCGTTCATGTGGGGCTTCTGCTCGTGGCCCTATGCGCCAAAGCCTGTGTTTTCTCTTTTGCTTCGGTTTCTTGTCCATGGTGCTGTTGCCTCAGTGATGGGACTGCTATTCATCTGGCCATCTCTCTACAGTCCATGAGAGGTGGTTCTGCAATCAGCACCCATGGCTTTGAAAAGAAATGGCAGGCTTTTTCTGCAACGATTTTCTGCTCTTGTTTTTTGGACTGTTGTTTTTTGCATCGAGGAAGTGGACTGCAGATCAGTGCCCTGTTCCGTAAACGCGAAAGCACATGGCAAGCCTGAACATGAAATCGGAAAAATCATCGCGCAGATGCGTTGGAAATCGTATCGATCTGCATTTACTTACTGAGTTGCATCTTGCATCCGTTTGGTGCGTGTTCTTTCGTTTGCTGTCGTTTGAGCACAAGCTATCTCAGCTTTCAGCAGTAGGGATTTTCTTTTCGAATCATTTGTTTTCCTGTTGGAGCTACGTCTTTTTTTTCATTTGAAACTAGTTAGTTTTTGGCACTGCATGTCTCTCTCTTTGCTTGCAGTACGTGGGCCTCGTGTCGTGCAACACATACTCCAAAACGTTTCATTGTTGCGCAGAAAGGCCCCAGCCGTGTCTTGATCTCTTTTCCTTTTTCCTTCTTTCCTTTCTGATCTGTCGGATGCAGTTTTTGTGCTGCTTGGTTTTACCTTTTGACTTGAACTTTGTATACATGGAACTTGCTTCCAGTTCCATATGTGGTTCTTGCTTGTGTGAGAGATGATGGCCATCCATGAACCAAAATCTGAAGAAACAATAATGCAGATGAATCGTCATGGATGCAGATGCATCCATGAACCAAAATCCCTGCAGCTTCTTCAGACGGTTGTACCAAGTTGGGGATGTGTCCTTTTGTTTGCCTGCCATTGGAGTAGAAGCTTTTGATGAAACAGCTGTTGTGTTCTTGCAGCATGGTAGTACATATTTGGCATCTTGTTACTTTTGGCCGCTTTTTGGTTGTTGTTGCTCTTCTTTGCGATCTCTTGGTTTTTGAAGCGTACCAGCTGAACTTTTGATTTTAGAACACGGTCAGATCCTTTGTGGGGTTTCTACAGTGAGCCTCCCATGCTGTTCTGCAGCATATAGTTCCAAAGTTGGTCAGGAGACCTGTCTGTACGGGAGGGGGAGATTCTTTGTGTTGTTTCCTTTTTGGAACTCTTCTTGGAGCTTTCTCATCTTCGATTGACCATACAAAAATTTACCTTGTCCTTGTACGAGTGGGACGGCGGTAATTTTTCTTTGGTACATATAATTGCTGTGCTATTTGAACGTAGTAAATTCTCGGCCGAAGGGTTTCTGAGTGAACTTCGTTTTATAAATGCTTGATTTTTTTTCGAATTTTTTGTAGTCAATTTAGTGTATTAGATGCAATCCATTTTATTATCACTGCAGTAAATGTGTGAAGGAACTGTTTCCAGTTAAAGCTTCTTTAAATTAATGACCTGTTTGCTATCTCTGTTTGAGTTATTTAAGTACCTTTGTTCAACTGCCCAGTTGCTTTTATTGTCTTTTCTGTCCTTGTTTATATAAGTGTAGCGTGAATGAAAAAAGTAAAGATAATGGCCTCGTTAGCTTCGTAAAAAAACTAAGGCCTTGTTTAGTTGCACCCTAAAATGCTAAAATTTTTCAAGATTCTTCATTACATCGAATCTTTAGACGCATGCATGAAGTATTAAATATAAATAAAAAATAAAACTAATTACACAGTTTAGACGAAATCAACGAGACGAATCTTTTAAGCCTAATTAGACTATGATTGGACACTATTTGTCAAATAACAACGAAAATGCTATAGTAACTTTTCGCCAAAAATTTCGGCATCCAAACGGTGCCTAAGTTAAAATACTGTTAAGTAATTTGTTGTGGGAGAAAAACACTGCTGTGTCGGCTAAAAAAAAGCTGAAAAGGACAGATTACCAAACAAGCCCGACCCACGGGCCCACTTTGTCGGTTCGTCCCCCAACACCCGCGCGCTCTCTCTGTCCACCCCCGCAGCAGACCCGTCAACCCGTGATTGTCGCTGTGTCGCCGGGAAGCCACGCCTCTCCCCTGCCGCAGCTTAGCAATATAGAAGAACCCTAGTCAATTCGCTCGTTTCCGATGCCTGATTGGGTCCACGCCGCTGGATCTCCAAGGCAGCACCACAACAAATTGGCTTCCCAGGCTCCGCCGCACAAAGCAACCAAAACCATGGCCACCACCCAAAATGCAAATGCTCTTCAACACCACAGTAGTTTAATTGGCTCGTCAATCCACCTGTAACTTGACAATTTCCTTCATACTTTAATGTAAGTTGCTTCTCATTTTCTTAACCCTAGGATAAGTGACATGTTATACTGTCTTGTTTACTGAATCTAGGATGAGAATTTCATTATTCTTCCACTAAGGATACTAATTTTTAGTGTTTATTTGTATGCTGTGATGTGTGAAACCATGGTCTAGTTGATCTCAATAAAAAGATTATGATTCATTTTGCCTGGTGTTTATGTGTCTTTTAGGTGTCTATTAATCCTGAGTCAAAGTCAAGACAAACCAACAGGGAAGTTCTCAATGAACTCATCAAGTTGCATGGGAAGACAGCTCTGGGCGGCAAACTGCCTGCCTATGATGGTAGGAAGAGTCTTTATACTGCTGGTTCACTTCCTTTTGAATCAGAGGAGTTTGTGGTTACGCTGGTTGATCCAGAAAAGAAGGAGAAAGAAAGGTCTTCCCAGATCCTATTTTGATCCACTTTTCAGTACTACATGAAAGTTATCTCTCACCTGCACATATTAATCCTTTTCAATTTATAGGGCGGAGAGGGAGTACAAAATCACAATTCGAATTGCTGGGAGAACAGATTTGTACCACCTTCAGCAGTTTCTGCGTGGAAGACAGAGGGATATGCCTCAAGAAACCATACAAGTACTTGATGTTGTCCTCAGGGAGTCGCCATCTTGGAAGTATAATAGCTACACACAGTTTCCTGCTTTGAATTTTGCTTTAGTAATCTTTTATCCAGGGTACTGACAATTTTTTGGTTAAATGTCACTGCAGTTATGTCACAGTTTCCAGATCCTTTTTCTCTACTACTTTTGGTCACAGAGGCGACATTGGCGAGGGGCTTGAGTGTTGGAGGGGTTACTACCAAAGCCTGCGCCCAACACAAATGGGGCTTTCACTGAATATAGGTAATACCCTGTCTATGTTTTTGTTGGCCCATGCCTTTTGTTTGATATGTTTTGGTAATTAACATTGGTTTTAATGTTGCCTTTTGCAGACATATCAGCAACATCCTTTTTTAAGCCTGTGTCAGTTATCAAATTTGTGGAGGAGTACCTGAACATGCGTGATACATCTCGGCCTTTGTCGGACAGGGATCGTGTGAAGGTAATGTTTTTACACACTGAAAATCTAGAAAGCTTCTTGTACAGTACATCCTCCTATTGGCTCTTTTTTGTTGAGTAATCTTATATGACATTAATTGTGTTCAGATAAAGAAAGCATTACGTGGAGTTCGCATTGAAACAACTCACCAACAGGATCAAATCAGAAGATACAAGATAACAGGGGTTACTTCCATCCCTATGAGCCAGCTGATGTAAGTATCTATATGCAAATGCTGCCTTTCTTTTCCCTTCCCTCTGCAGCATTTATGTTCTGGAATATTAATGCTAAGATTAATCTTTGCAAGGTATGCCTTGAGTTTGAGTATTTTGTGCATGTTTGTATGTGGGTAGGTAAAGTATAAGACAGGGTCTAGGAGTAACAAATATGTTGAGAGAATATTCAGTCTGAGGTTGACGTTTATGATTTGTGTTCACTGATGAATATTAATTCTTCACTAATGAATATTAATTCTGAATTATTGGCACATCACTTACTAACGGCTAAATAGCTGTAGTATTACAATTATCACAATTGGTACGATCTGACCTATGTCAACACCGTGTCATCAACTTACAGCTCCTTTTTGTCATTTTAGATTTCCTGTTGATGATAAAGGAACAAGAAATACTGTTGTGCAGTACTTCTGGGACAAATACAAGTACAGTTTGAAGTATGGTTCTTGGCCTTGTCTCCAGGCTGGCAGTGATTCACGACCTGTATATTTGCCTATGGAGGTACTGTATCCATGATCATTCAGCAGTACTTGAATTATTCATGTTAAGTTCATTGTTTTAATAAAAAATATTTTTTTTGCGGGGAGTTTTAATAAAAAATATGGTTGTAGGTTTGCAAGATTCTAGAAGGGCAGAGATACTCTAAGAAGCTTAATGACAGACAAGTGACCAACATACTTAGAGCAACATGTAAACGTCCCCAGGAGAGGGAGCAGAGCATACGTGATGTACTCTTCTGGACCCTTATTCCTCTGCTGTTTAATAGAATAATTATTATCTCTGCAGGATATCGTTTCTAATGACAAATTTTCTTATGTGCTGCATAGATGGTTCTGCATAACAAGTATGCAGATGATAGGTTTGCTCAGGAGTTTGGCATCAAAGTTAGCAGTGATCTAGTGACTGTTCCAGCCCGTGTGCTGCCTCCACCCCTGGTAACTTTGCTAATTTTGTTTTCCTTGCTCAAAGATTAGTGTCCAGGAATCACCTTTGTTTTATTCTTTGAGGAATAATCAGTTTCTTTGTTGTATTTCAGTTGAAATATCATGACTCTGGTAGGGAGAAAACTTGTGCGCCAAGTGTTGGACAATGGAACATGATCAATAAGGTGAGATTATGTTCTTACCTAGAAATTTATCTCTGAAGTTAGTTGAGCATCGCCATAGTTGTCAATAAATTTATTGTGAACTTGTCCAGCATCTTTGTGCACTGTTTGTCAATCTTTTTTTTTCTGGGAAATGTTTGTCAAGCTTTTAGGAGTGTCTTTTTGTTTAATGCTGAAACTATCATTACCAAATTTTCTAGCCAGTCTTTCTAGATGTAACAAAGCTTTTGACCACTGTTCTGGTACCCTTTTCCAGAAAATGATCAATGGAGGAACTATTGATAACTGGACTTGTTTGAACTTTTCACGCATGCGACCTGATGAGGTACAGAGGTTCTGTATGGATCTGATTCATATGTGCAATGCAACTGGAATGGTAAGTTCTTTACTATCTGTATGTGTTCTCAAGTCATTCCAGACAGTTCACTGTATATTGAAGTTAACTTCTAATCATCCCTGTAGGTTGTCAATCCACGTCCATTTGTTGATGTCAAGTCTGCAGCTCCTAACCATATAGAGAATGCTTTGAGAGATGTACACAGGAGAGCCACACAAATGCTTGCCCAACAAGGAGTGGGAAATCAGCTGCAGCTTCTAATCGTAATTCTGCCTGATGTTAGTGGTTCTTATGGTATGCATACTTGTCTCTCGGTCTGGGTCATACACACCTTTACAATTTATTAGGATTTTTGTTATATAAATGACTCTCCTACTTTTGCAGGTAAAATCAAAAGAGTCTGTGAGACTGACATTGGAATTGTATCTCAGTGTTGCTTGCCAAAGCATGCTAGCAGGCCAAACAAGCAATATTTGGAAAATGTTGCACTAAAAATCAATGTCAAGGTCCTAAAACCTATATTTTTTGCATTAAGTTTTTTTTGGTTTTGGTTCTTTCATGCAGGAATGTATTAATTCCTTTCATTTAAGCAGGTTGGTGGGCGCAACACGGTTCTTGAGCGAGCCTTTGTACGCAATGGCATACCCTTTGTGTCAGAAGTCCCAACAATCATCTTTGGCGCAGATGTCACACACCCCCCACCAGGAGAGGACTCTGCATCATCCATTGCTGCTGTTAGTTTCTTCTTATAACTGTCAAGTTATCAATCATATTTCAGTTGTATGATTTGCTTACAATGTGATATTCCTGTTCATAATTTAGTGCAATCTGAGCTGTGTAAAAATAAGTTACCATGCTGCTAACTTTGACTTTCGTTGAAATTGTGTAGGTGGTGGCATCAATGGACTGGCCAGAAATCACCAAGTACAGAGGCCTGGTTTCTGCTCAACCACACCGACAAGAGATAATAGAAGATTTGTTTACTGTCACTAAGGATCCGCAGAAGGGGCACAATGTTAATGGTGGCATGATCAGGTAAGTTTTTGATTGATCTGAGTTGACCTATTGTTGGTTATCAAATGGTTTATCTGGGTAACTGGCATGGTCTTGTTTGCAGGGAGCTACTGATTGCTTTCCGCAGGAAGACAAACAGAAGGCCTGAGAGGATAATATTCTATAGGTATGTGTTCCAGATCCTGTTTTTTGTTCATTTTTTCTACGCTATTGAGTGAAGTATCTTGACTTATCACGCCTATACAGGGACGGTGTAAGTGAAGGTCAATTCAGCCATGTACTTCTTCATGAAATGGATGCCATCAGAAAGGTATGATTTCCAGCGTCGTAATTTGTCTGTCAAATATGGTTTGCTTTGTCATATGCCCATGTCAATGGTTGTGTCCCTTTCCGTTTCAAGGCTTGTGCTTCTTTGGAGGAGGGATATCTACCTCCAGTCACATTTGTGGTTGTCCAGAAAAGACATCACACAAGGCTTTTCCCTGAGGTTCATGGAAGGCGTGATATGACTGATAAAAGTGGAAACATTCTTCCCGGTTAGTGTTTTGGTGTCACACTGCTATTGAGTTCATATAGCTGCTGCTTCTGTAAGCATTTGCTGATCTGGGGTTATTTTGTGCCTTACTTGTGCTGCAGGAACTGTGGTTGACCAACAGATTTGCCATCCTACTGAGTTTGATTTCTACTTGTGTAGTCATGCTGGTATTCAGGTATGTTGGTACCTCGGTGCACATTCTTTTCCCGAACAGCACTTATCAGATATTGAGCGTAAAAAATATTTCTTGTCAGGGAACAAGTCGGCCCACCCATTACCATGTCCTCTATGATGAGAATCATTTTACTGCTGATGCACTGCAGTCACTGACCAACAATCTTTGCTACACGTAAGTTCAACTCCTTTTCACTTTCGAGTGTTCTTTCTCTCTCTGACTCTTTGGTTTACCTAACATCTGTCTACTGTTAATTGATGAAATGCAGTTATGCTCGTTGCACCCGTGCAGTATCAGTGGGTAAGTTCTTATTCTAGCTGCTCTTCTGTTTCCTATCATATTCTGCTCAGCTGAAGCTTTCATTGATATGAGCTCTTTCTTGTGAGCTTGTAACATGAGAAATTTCAAGCTCTTTGATATGATTTTAACTGCAAACTGGGAGTAGTGGTTCAATGAGTGAACACATTGGCAGCATCTCGTTTAAATTGTAGATGTATTCTCAATCAGTGCAATGTAGTTTGATTAGTGAACACGAACGGTATTCTCTACGTCTGTGCAATGTGTTATTTGTATTTACATTGAAATAAATAATCAAGAATATTGTCGTCAGCTCTAACACCATCTTTATCTGTTGGGTTCTTGATCATTGTTTCTTTGTTATTATTAGTCCTATTATTGCTCTGTACAGTTGTCACTATCATGTGAACAACTATTTTCTTGAACCATGCATCATTTCCTTGTGCTCTTTTATGTTGTAGAGTAGATGCAAAGTAGTTGGTTACCAGTCACCACTAATAGTGTGTTCTTTGCTTTCCAGTCCCACCAGCCTACTACGCCCACCTTGCCGCATTCCGTGCACGCTACTATGTGGAAGGAGAAAGCTCAGACGGTGGCTCAACCCCTGGCAGCAGCGGGCAGACAGTAGCCCGGGAGGGGCCTGTGGAGGTGCGTCAACTTCCGAAGATCAAGGACAACGTGAAGGACGTTATGTTCTACTGCTGAGCTGCTCCAAGTTCGGCATTCAAGCTTTCTTTTTGCTAGATGATGGGATGTTCTCTTCTTTTTATGGATGTTTCTGGTAATCTTATGAGTGACCGTGTCCTTAATATTGAGCTAGTTGCTCATATTTTCATCTCTTGGTATTCGGAGTAGCAAGAGTTATGACTGGAGCTTGGTCTTGAAGGCCTAAAACTCTGTTTGGATGAAACTAATGCAAGCACTCCATAAGTTTTATGTTCTTGGCTTCTTGCCTATTTTCTGTTCGATCAGTTATTATCTTATCTGCTTTGCTGCTGAGTCTGGGTGACATGTTATTTTTCTGGAGATATTAAGATGAAGTATTTTCCCAGCCATTTTGATTGATATTTGGTTCTGGACCGTGGGTGGTCAGGTCCTTGTAGAAGTCACATGCTGCATCTAGTGGTTAGTGGCTTGGACCTTTGACTTCCAAATGAGTCCACAGAACCAAATGAATGTGGCAACTTTGCGCTTAAGTTTTAACTTGTGTTGCAAGATAGCAAGTTCTCTTGTTGTTTCTGGTATGTATCTGCTGGAGAAAGGATTGAGTAAGCTTTACTCTTTGCTGTTTGGTCATGGTTTTGTGAGTTGGCTACATCGCAAAATGTTATTGTAGTTCAGTTTCTGGGTGCAGCATGACCTTTCATTGTTGATATGGCCACTGGCCAGACATGGCTTGTGGTTTGCTTCCATCAAAACACAGGCGAAGCGGTTCGGCGGTACCTTGGCGGGACTCATGGTTACAAGTGATGGGATCTAACTAGCTCCAGAGCCCAGCTTCCTAGTGTCTCTAGCGGCTGGCATGTGTGTAGGGGAAAGGGCCGAATGGGATGCATAACAGGGTGCTGAGTGCTCTATGTTCGGTTGGGTGTGTGATCACTTGCTAATATCGCCCTTTGGTTGCGAAAGGAAGTAATGCTTCTCATTTGGTTAGATCCCATACAGTTATTAGTACAGGTGTATGGAGTACAACAAGCACAGACAACTCTACACTCGGTCAGCCTATGATTTGTGCTGCTGAGTTGGTTACGTCATACTCGGGGGTATTTCGGAACAGAGACGGCAGGTCACGACCATTCTGCCAGCTACAAGCTGCTTTAGATACAAGAGCAACCGCAGACCACTAGTACTATTCTTTCGTTGCTCAAGAAAATTTCATAGAATTAGAAGGGCATCCGGTGTATACCAGTAGCACACGTACTGAGCTAAGTTTACACAATCTCTAGTACAGATATCCTCAGGTCCATTCTACCAAAGTAGAAACTTGCAAGCATAAAAATTTTGATAGAAAACTATCAGCTTGCTATGTTGTATTATCGTACAACCTCCCCAAAGGAGGAATCAGTCAGTACAGCCGAAAAGTGTGCTCTCATTTGGCATAGGATCTATACATTGCAGGTGTATACTTGAATCACGATGCAGCAGTCTAATCGATCCTGTTTTCCCCTGCCCCTTGAGGTATTTCACCGCCTGTAACGGTGGCGCTTGAAGTTGAAATAGAGATGGAGAATCCCACGCTCAAATGTACACTTGAACCCCTTCTTGTGTGAGTATTCCCATTCCTTGTTCACAATACGGAAAGCCTGTGGAATAAAACAAAGTGAAAAGACTGCCCATGGAAAAAGCTACAGAAGAATAATACGAAACATTAGAAGGCACAAGGCTTACAATATCCTCGTATGGAGGGCCGGCGTGAAATTTTATGAGACAAGTCTCACCAGTGCTTCCATCTTTCTCTATACTGTACGTTGGTGCTTTTGATTTATCCACAAGATCAGGGTAAAATATATTGAACTTGTAGCCTTGAACAATTTTAGGCGGTGGGTTATCATGGTCATAATGAGTCTGGTTGTATTTATTCCATTCATATCCAGTGTGCACCCGATTGAAGTACTTGGGCTTTCTTGGTCGATACTTGTCGTGCCACCAGTACACCTGCGAGCATATTGAACAAGCATATGCCATCAGAAACCAGTTGAGTTCATATGCAGTAGGATGCACCAAAGTTGCTAAATCACGCTTCTTGTGTGTAAAACTTGTTACCACCCATGGTATCGAACTCAAATATGGCATTACCCCTATATTAAACTGTCAAAATATACTCAATTACAATTACATGAGTCAACAGATTATTTGAAAATTTTGGTGTAGCTTAAGGTGTGTGTTATCTATGGTCCAGATTATAGCAAGATAACCATCGGTCCTTCTGGATCAACACTAAAAAATTGTCACAGTCACGCCATATCCCAGTTGAATTCTGAGAACTCTCTCGCTAATCCAGTATCAAGGCAGAATATTGGAAAATATAGATATACAACTATTGTCATGTTACCATGCTAAAAACGCAATGGGATCAAAGGAAAATCATCCAAACCTGTGAATCAAGGTTCACTTCAGCACCAGCACCAAATACTGTATCTCCTTCCTCCATAGCTCCCATCGTTTTTATGGCCTTCATCTCCATCTCATCAGGTACTCTTACCTTTGCTTTCATGGCTTCCTGAACTTTCCTTTGATGCTCCAAAACTACAGCTTCACGTTTTCGGTCCTGGAGATGATTAAAAGCATTAAGTATGAGTTGCCAACATCATTCTAATTATCTAATCAACTCATAAAATAAACCCTAATAACTTGATGTTCTTAAGAAAAATCTTCACCCATTGTGTTTGTATATGAACTCTAGAAAGCCCTCAAATTTAAGTCACCATAAGGAGCATTGCCATCAAAAGTAAGATCTAAATGAATCAATGCCCCCCTCTTAGGGTAAGACATGCAGGAAGGCCTGCAGAAGCTTGAAAGGTTGTCTTCTTAACGAAAAAAAATATCAGTAGAACTTTTCGTCCTAATATTGTTAGTTAGCCTCTTTTGTTGCATAATATGGAGTCCAGTTACTAACAATCTGTACTTGACAATTAAACTACTCAGTTAACTGCACTGCAGCAAATAACTAGTACAGTTCCAATCATGTTTCTGTTAATACTATTAGAAATAGAAACACAGGACTCTACCAGCTCAGCTTTGTCCTCTTCAGGATCAATTGCATCTTCATCTTCATTGCCATGCATTAGCTGTGGAGAGAAGGATCCATCTTCCTCTTCAAATTGGTTTTCTGTGTGCTGAGGTATAGGCTCAGGCGAATATCGCTTATCATCTACAAATAGAACATACATCAGAAATCACTTCATTATCTTGGAAACATAGTTGATTGAGTAATCAGAAAAGAAGGTAAACCTTCATCCTCATGCATCTCATCCTCCAGTTTATTATCATCTTCTTTCTCAGATTCCACATCCTGTTCAACAGCACCAGGATGCTCCAGTCGATGTAAATGCTTCCTTAGGATAGAAGCATGGATCTCCCTCAGGCAAGCCTGCGATGCAAACAAGCATTTTTCGTAAGTATAAACTGCAAAATCAAAATTCAGAAGTTCAATGCAATAGCGCAGCTCTAGATTATAAAGGATTACTGTAATAAGCCTTTAAAGAAGTTCAGATCATGCAACTGCACCACAGGTTAGTAGGTTACCAACCAACCAGTGGTGGCAAAGTAGCGCCTTTTGCCTATTACTGAGGTCTAGTCAATAAACCCATGCATCCTTATTTTCAAAAAAAAAAAACATCGTTTTACTTTGTATAACGGTATGAATAGATTGGCATTTGCAGACCCACTGGCATACCTTTGCTTTGTAAATATGAAGCCGTTTCAGGATAGCTTCCCAGTATTCAACAACTTTTGCAGTCCCAGAGCGCATTTGGGACTCAATTTGACTTTGCATATCTTCAAGCTCTGTGGAAGTTTTACCATCCAGGAGACTTTTTACATCCCCCTCAATACTTGCATGCAAACCTCTCTCTTCTGCAAGAACCTCAGGTGGTGGTTCCTCACCACGGACCCTAGCCCGATCTAGGGCATCTCTTTTCCGAGCCTCACCTAGCTCCCATTCGCATACCACCATGAGTGCCTGATAAATTCAGATCAACATAGACAATGCATTAGCATTCTTGCTAATCATATGAACAAGTTTCTGTAAGGAACTGAGGGGAAATTATATATACAAAGTTAGAGATATATCATGACAAACCAAAGCATTTTTTCCTAACCAAATAAAATCTATATAGGGAAAATGGAGGCTACTGTCAGTTTTGTATCCCACCACAATCCCTAGTTAGGAGTACATTGTTCCATACTTAGCATTTTCAACACAAAAAACTATACATTTTATACATCTTGCTCACAGTTATTCAGGAAGAAGGTAATATTGTCATGCATCTTAATGCCAACAAGTTATTCAGGAAAAAGGTTAAAGAAAATGACATGTACCTCCCAGTACTTAACATTTGTTTGGCTTTCCTTGTCCAGATCAAGATGCATCTTAATGTCATCACGTAGCTCTTCCATTGCTTTCACTGTTAATCCCTGATATTTTGCAAAATACACATATATTTCAGGAAGTGCTAAGTTATAAAATGCATATCTTTTGAATGCACTGTATGATGGTGTCAGAATATTATACAATAGCTGGCTTTAAAAACCATACAGAAAATTACACAGGTAAGTGCTGCTGGGACAGCTCTTTTTTCAGTTGAATTACAATTGGATAAGGATGAACAAAGGATGCTCACCTTGAACACCAGATAGGGCTCATTTAACTCAATGTCAAATTCATCTGAGAAATTAAGATTCTTAAGGAGAACATCAATAGGCTTTGTACGCCCCTCCCGCAACCTGATCTCAGACCTGACCTTGCTTTGGTCAAAATGAAACTGCACTCCAAATGAGAAATGCTAGATAAATAACAATTCCATATTAACTCCAACACAAATTGAATAGTGTTTGTCAGGTTTTAAGATATTAACCTCTTCCTCTTTCTTCTCCCAGTCTTGAAACTCGGCACGTGCTCTTTCTCTAGCTAGCAATGCCTTCAAAATGGCAAGTACATGTATTTAATTCCAAATGCAAAAACTGTCTGAATGTAATAAATGATA